CTCCTTCTAGTTCTGATTTCGTTTCACCCATTTGTGTGGGCAGTTGACGAGGAAATTAGAGATTCCTGATTTTAGCCTCGTGCTGATCTGTATTCTGATACTTGAGAGCAAGCTTTGATTTGTCTCTCCAGTTTCTTAGAAGCGGGTATATTTGGTGGTAGAATCATTCAGCTTAGAAAAGACCTCTAAGGTCACCAACCCCAACCCCTCACGTCCCTCAGTGCCACATCTCAACAACCCCATGGATGGTGACCCCACCACCTCCCTGGGCAGCCCTGCCAATACTCAACTGCTCTTTCCAAGAAGAAAATTTCCCTGCCATCCAACTCCCTTTGGCACAACTTGAAGCCATTCCCTCTTGTCCAATATAATGAGCAGAGCTGAGCCTTGACCTGCTCTTACTTTTGAGTTTGCTTGCTCACTGCCTGTAAGCAAAACCTCTCTGTGCAAACAGACTGAAACTGAGCGACCTGAAGTGCTTCAGAAACTTGGCATTCCTTTGCCCTTAGAGCTGCTCGGTGACAGGTAGCATCCAGTGCTCAACAGATTTCAGTGCTAAGAATAAGATCTGATTTGAACTTGAGGTGCCTCTGATGGACGTGAGGGGTTTCCTCACTGATTCTTAGTAGCCTGTTCCCTTATGGCTTCCATGGCAGTCTTTCTTGGACCAGGTTTAAGCAGAAATGTTCTTTATTCAGCATCTCACATCTGCTTTGGGAATTCCAGGTAGAGAGGGGATGCTTATACTTGGGAACCCCCCCTCAACCAGGACAGATGGAGCACAGCTAAGATGAAACCATGTTGGTTGCCAACTGTTGCAAGCTCTGCTGAAATGAAATCACTTGGTGGTGATAAACAGTGCCTTGTAACCGCTGTGAACTTATTTTTACTGGTTCCCAGTTAAAGGGGGCCCTAAAGCTCATTTTGACACTTTGGGTCTGGAACAGTGTTAGTATAAGTCTTGAGCATGATTTCAGTCACTAACCATGATATTTTTGTGGTTTACTGTGGAAGAAACTGTTCTCTCATTGAGGTACCATGAGTAGAGGAACAAGAGTTTTGTTCAGAGCAACGTTCCATGAAAGGGGAGGTGAGCAGTGTGTCTGACAATGCAACTCCTGTGCATGTTGTGCAATTGGTTGTGGATTTGCCTCCATTTTGGCAGCGTGGTGCAGCTGGGTTACTCTGCCCATCTTGCATCCCCATCAGTCTTAGAAAACACAACTTTTAACCATAGGCATTTGTAAGAGCTTTACTTTTGTCACTCCTTCAGGATTATGTGAGTGAAACATGACGCTTCCAAAACAGCAAACATAGGCTTTCAAGATTGAAAATCCTCTTATTATTTTATCCTGGATCTTTAAGGCACGTTTTGACCATCTGGTTAAAACTGTGTGCTGTTTGGATCGCTCACCTGAATTCAGAGTGAAACCCTTTTCTTGATTTGCACATCTTTGGCACAATTGTCATTGATCCCAAAGCTGCCTTGCCAGATGCCTGCCTCCCTGCTCCTTCTATCACCATTAGTCCTTGTGTTTTTCCCTCCTGGTATCATTGCTGGCATGTCAGGTGTCCTGTGGAGCAAGAACAGCCTTGAGTGCAGTGGAAACAATAGACAGCAACAACTCCAAATTGGGCTGGTGTGTTATAAGCTACTGAAGTTGTGCTTTTTTCTTACACCAAGTTAATATTCTTGAACTCTCTCTTCTTTATGAGCCACTGTTGAAATTACTGCTGCTGTGTGTCAGCTGAGCATTGTGCACTTCGTATACAGAAACAGAATATCTGCTGTAAGTGCAGGTTGTCTTAGAGCTGTTTTATGAAGTCTGCTTGCTGATGAAGGCTAATACTCCAGGAGTTCACGTGAGTGAAGAGCGATCTAACTGCACAGGGTAGAAGCTTTGCTGTCCATAATTCTAGGAAGCTGGTTAAGTTATTTTGGGCTCTTTATTTCTCATCCGCAGTGATCAAGACTTGCACAAAGCATTGAGATAAGGTGATAGAAACCCTCATCATCTTGTGATCCTTTGCTGGACTTGCTGAAGTACATCCATGTCTGACTGTAGCTGGGAGCCAGGACTGGACCCTGCACTCCAGATGTGATCTCAGCAGCAGTTGGGCAGAGGGGAGGGATCACATCCCTGGTGATGCTTGTCCTAACCCGAGGTGCTGTTGGTCCTCTTTGCCTCAAGGGCATGTTGGTGGCTTCTGTTCAACTGAGCACCCACCAGGGCTAAGATGCTTCCCAGTTGATTGTTTCCTACCCATCCTGTACTGGTGGCTGGGCTTTTTACTTCCCCGTTTCCCCATTCTGAACTCCACGAGGTTGTTGTTCACTCAGTGTTTGTGATGTTTGGACGTGTCTGAGGATTATTTTCTCCATCACCTTCCCAGGGCTTAGCTGGTAGCTTCTTGCATTGCTCTTCTGGGACGTGAGGGTGATGACTGCTTTCTTCTGATCTTCAGGAACCTCCTAAATCACCTTTCAAGAGATGCTTGAGGAGGGACCCTAGGACAGAAGGAGGAAGAGTGCAACTTCTATGCCAAGGGATGGCTTTGTCTGTGTAAAGGTGTTCCTAAAGTTGACAGGTTGTGCTACTACTTAGTAACTTCTAACAGTCTCATCTAGTGATTACACAGCTGACACTGGTGGCATGCTTTTTCTTCTTTCCAATAAATACATCACACTTAATCCTTTGAATTTCTCATCTTAGATCAAGCATCTGTGTTCTGCTTTACAGGAGCTTGGTGATCTTCTCTTCTTCCCCCCCCCCCCAAACATATCATTAAGAATGGAATCAAAGAAGGGAGGTGTTGGAGTGCAGTGAGCAGGCACACGCCACTTTGCATTTTATTGAGTGCTTTGTGATTATAAAATGACCAAAAGAGTAATTTTCAAGTGTAATATCTGAGCAAGGATAACTATAGCCTTACCCAGCAGGCCAACACGCCGCGTGCCAAGGGAAGAGATTGAGCTTACAGCCATGCTATGTGAAGGAGGCAGAAACAATTTCATGTAGGGAGCCAGCAGTTAAGGTTGCGTTCAATTATGCTTGGTGAACCACTATATGAAATGTCCTGGTTCCTGTCCCTTAAGTTTATTGCTTGTGACCAGCCCTAATGGGCAAGTGAGATAACACACAAAGAAAGGAACATCAAAGTTGGGGGTGTTTTTCTATATGTCATAAATGTGCCTATGCAAAGGCATTCACTCATGTTTTTCAAGGCTTTCATGTGACTTGTGACGTTATAAGTGCTGACGTGAGGATGTAATTGGAGTTTAGAGTCTTTCAGGGTTAGAGTCTTTGATGTAAATGGAGTTCAGAGTCTTTCAGGGTTAATTAGTGGAGGTTAGAGGACGGAATTGTGATTAACTGCCAAAAATAAAAAAGAAACCCACACCAAGACCAACCTGATAAAGAGAAAAGCTTAATCTGTACCGTTTCAGCTGTGTGGGAGACGGTAGCAGGAGCTGTAAAACAGCTTTATCCACTTTTTCTATCTGATGTGTATCAAAGAGCTCTGTATCTAATAGCAGAATACGTGCTTCCTGTTACTGGTGACTTAATGAAATACTGTTGTATACAGAGACACAGCTTGTGTCCCTAATGGTGCTTTTACTGTCAAGCTTGACTGAGTTTTATACCCTTAATTGGGAAGGTATCCTTTAGATCTGAATCCTGCTACGATTGGCTGAGTGTAATTGTAGATACTGAAATGAATCCCTTTCCTGTTTGTGCTTCGCACTCAGGGTAACGCGGGGTGGGATTTTTGTAGCATGTGCTCATTTCTCAAGGTTCTGTTTTCTTGCGTGGGGAAGGCGGTGGATTTATGGCTGTGTTAAACAAGGTGAGCTGGATGCGTGCTATTGGTGGTGCTTTTTATATTCCTCAACTTGAAGTGACCTGCTGAGCTTGAAAGCAGCATAAAACTTGAAACTGACATCTTAATATTTGATTTGCTGTGATCGTGACCCGTTCACCTTTAGCTTTAATGGTGCTATATAGTTCTCCTTAGATGTTGCAAATGTACTCTACTGCGGGGCTGCAGTCAAGATTTTCTCTCTGATTGATGATAAAATACACTTTGTGTAACCACCCCTCCGTGGTGCGTGTTGTTTCTAGGAGATATCCATCTCCTGTGTTTGTTATCTTAAATTCAGGAGAGTCTTTGCTTTCTGATGTAATGTGGGCTTTGTGCAGATAATGCACTCGGCTACTTGATTAAGAGCTACAGAACGTAGGGTTTGTAAGGAAGGCAAGAGTTGGTTTCGTGGTGCAGTTCCCATCAATGTAAGCTGGAGATTGTACTAAAATCACCAACTTGACCACAGTGACCTCAACCTCTGGTGCTCAGGAGGGGTCGGAAGGCAATCCTCAGCAAGGTAGGTTACAAATAGTGGCAACAGTGAACCACTTCACTTAAGCCAGGGCTCCCAGAACGTACAGAGATGCACCTGGCATAGCTGTCCAAGGGCATTATAGGGCTTTGTATGGCGTGTGGATGGGATGGAGAGCCCCCACAAACGAGGAACCCTTTGTACTGTTCTTCTGCTGTGTTGATAAATGGGCTTGCAAACGTCTGTCAAGAGATCTGTACTCTTCCAATCTCCAAATAAAAATGTAATCAAAGGAGAGCTCTTAAAAGATTTGTTTGATTGGGAAGTGAGCTAACCGTGGCTGAATATGAATGCAAAAGTGGGATCTGATATTACAGTGCATGCTTCAGGAACTGAGAGGGATATTGCAGCGCTGGCAGGGTCAAAAAGCATCTTCTGAGAACATAAAGTATTTCAGCTAATGAATTGGGTTTGCTTAATTTTGACATCAGTTTTTTTTAAAGGACTGCAGGTGCAGAGAGTTGCTGATGATGTATGGAGGGGATCCAGAGCTAGAGAAGCTCGTGATCTTTTCCTTTCTAATCTTGGGGTCTGTGGCTTTTTAATCTGAATAATGTCACCTTAAATGCTTTTCTTTTTTGTATTTTTTCTCCCTCATCAGATTTCCTTTATACCCAAAAGGAGGAGAGAAGCTTCAGTTTGAATATGGAGTGTATCTTCTCAACAAAAACATAGCACAGGTTGGTACACTGAGATTTTTTCTTTTACTGATTATCTATCATCTCCTAGTGTCACTGTGGCAGCACTACTGTCTTGTGAGGCTCTTCTCCATAGAGAACATCTGTGACCTGCTGGAGGCACTCTTCAAATGATGGCCCTCACCTGCCTTACTGCTTTGTGTTCAAGACCTTCTCTGCTGCTCAGAGGAGGGCTTGCCAGCCAGTAAGCCTTTTTTTCCTGTTAAATGGTAAATACTGTGTGTGTATGTGTGCTGTTTTGAAAGTGGAAAGTGCTTTCTGTTATTTTCATCATATTAATTTCTTTCTCATCACTGTGCCCTTTAATATTATTATTTTAACTGGAGTTCTACCTCAACACTTGTTTGATAAGAAAACACAACAGTCTGGAAAACCATAAGCCTTGCCAATGCCCGAGTTGTTTTTTAAGTCCTATAATCATCCTTACTTCCTTGCTCTTGTGTTGTTTTTTTGGTTTGTTTGCTTTTAAATCATCTCCTGTGTTGCTAAATGCACGGTTAATTGCTTTTGCCTTGTACAAGCTGATGAACTCCTATTTGAGATGGCATTGAAACCTGCTGCCACACGCTTGGTATGGAATTCAGACAGTGTTCAAAAAGCAGAACCTGATCCCAAAGGGACCTGTGGGGCCATTCGGGTTGGTGCATGGTCCTAAAGCAGGATCTGTGCATCTCTGCTTAGTTGATTACAGACCATGTCCTGAAAGATAGCCTGGGATTCATCAGTCTGTCCCTGTTCTTTTCTGTCTTGGCTGTTAAAAGCTTCCCTGACATCTCATCTGTCTTGGTTCTTTAAACCACGTAGCCTCTGATTTTAATAATCTGTTCATTAATTTGCTTTATATGCAAGCCGTTATGCATTGAAAGACAACTTCTCCTTGTCTGAGTGTCGTCTTTGGATCGCAGCTCTTAAGGTTGGAGCATTCTTGTTGCCTGCTGTTCTCCATCTGATCTGCATCCTTCTTGAAGCTCCGTTCCCAAAGCTGGGTGCCATCAAAGCATTGAGTAAGGGAGAAATCTTTGCAAGTCCTTGCAGTTTTTGTTAAGCTCATTATAAGGTTTGTACCCTCATCAGAATAACAGTGGAATTTGTCCTTCAGCACAGGGCTCAGTCTCTGCTGTACACCATTCTGTGTGCAGATGACTCCTTTAAATGGCATATTAGGGTACCCCAGGCTGTAGCCTTAAGGCTGCACCTCTTTGATTCTCTGATTTGGTGGCATGATGTAGGAGATTGGGAAGTAAATGGTGAGAACTCAGTCTCAGCTTAGTGCTATTTGTGTGTGAGCCTGTTCTCTGTTCATCTAGGTCGCTGGATGGAAATACTGAATGGAGCTGGGATGAAGCATGGATCCACATGTAGCCCTGCTTCGTTATTGCCACTTCCACTATTGGCAGTGAACTGTTAATTACACTCAAAGAGTTCTTGCTCTGGATTCATTCTGTAGGGTGCTTTGCCAGTGTTCCATTTCCCCAGTCACTTGTGTACCACGAAGTGACAAAATAATGTATTTAAATTCAAGCAGAAACACGACAGCTCAGTTCCAACATGTTTGTGGGACTTGAAATAGGAATTGACTGGACGCCTTTATGCCTGAAAAATCGTTTTTATCCTTAATTTCTATTTGTTTGGTTTGGGTTTCTCCTCCCAACTCTCTCTTCCAACCCTCCCTACCTTTGAATTAGAGTAACACTTCTGGATCCTATTGTTTGGAGGGTTTTTTAGGCTTGGATTGCATTTACCATTTTCCAGACTTCTGGTATCTTGCCCATGCTTCGTGTATTTTGGAAGATAACCTCCAATGGCTCTGAAATTACTTAAAGGCTAAAATAGCTTAAGATGAAGTTAATCAAATCCTGCTAATCTTGGAAATTCACTTAACCAAGCTGTTAATATAACTTAGACTGTGACTCTTTGTTGCTGGCATTAACAATGGCAACCATCTGTTCACGCTTTCGCAGGGAAGACAGGAGTGAAAAAATGGATTAAATGCTCCCTTTCCTTCAAATGATTGGTAGCTTTCTCTCTCCATTAGTATCAAATCCACGTTTTCCTTAATCTGTTCTTCATACATTCATTACTTCATTCTGTAGCTCGCAAGTGGCAATGCTGCTTGCTTTCATTTTTCAGCCTCGTGTGTTTTCCTGCATGATTCTGAAGTTGGCCATTGGGTTGTGTGGCAACAGCTACTCTGTGCTGCTTTGGTAGGTGAAATTCTGAACTCTTTGTTGAGCCCAAGTTGGTAGACTTTCCATTTCCTGCAGTCTGGGTTGGTTGGCACTTGTGCCTGTAGTATCTTTTTTCTTATTTTAATAGGAACTGTCACCACTTCACTACTTTTCCTGTTCTTTTTCTATTTGACTTGTCAGAGTTGGGCCTGCTGAAATCACTCATTCTGATTTTATTCTTGTCCTGTTTCCAAAGGACTGTGAACTGTTGAACTCACGGTCACTCATTCCCATTCCCTTCCTTGTAGCCGACTTCCAAAATCACAGGCGTGTTTTTAAACTCATAAAAGTAAATGAAGACTTGAAGGATGTATTTGAGTTGAAAAATGTTTCCCAACTTGCATGAGATCACTGGTGCAAAGCAGGGTAGTCGGTGGCCAAACTGTGTGAAGTGGTTTTGTTCTACACCAGTGGTTCACGCGTTCCTGGTTGAGGCTGTACGTTGCTGACTATAAAAACATAATAAAAGCAAATCAGAAACCTTGGGGGGGGCTTCTACTACTAGTTTAATCATGAAAGTGTTACTGAAGTCTATATAAATCGTTTCAGTCACCTCTTCTTTGATGTTCTTTGTCAGCTATTGCAGCTTTCTATGGTTCTGCCAAGAGGAAATACCGCCTTGAAAGCTGCGTGAACAATCTAGCAGAGCAGGTAGATAATATATGGAAATACAGGAGTTCTGTGTTCAGGGCTGGCTTGATCTAAAACCTGGGATTGTTGGAATCAGCCTCCAGGAGAACATAGGTAGCTCTCAGTGTATCTTACCGGAGTTTAAGTTGCTCTTTGAATATCTTAAGGATGCTTTGGGAACAGCTTCCAGATACGCTTACTTTGAAGAGGATAGAGGCCAAAAAGATGGAATGGACAGGGAGAGGTGGTCTCCAGACCATCACAGCCTGTGAGAGAATCCTCTGAAGGCCCAAAGGGGTTGAGGAAACAAGTCCTGTGAGTGTTCTGTCATGAGTTAACGCGGATCCATCCATTGCTTTACTCCCTGACTGCTGTGTGATGTCAGAGCGTGGCTGACCCTGCTGGAGTGTGAAGGGAGGAGCTCAGGTCTCCATCCTCACTGAGTGCCTCGTGTGAATCCTGATCGTGTAGGTGAGAAACAAAAAGCTCGGAAAAACCTGCATTGATGCAAATGGCTTCTTGCAGTTTCATGGAAGCTTCCTTGCGTTTGGTTTTGTTGTGTTTTTCTTCTTTCCTTTCGTAATTATCTGGAATTGTCAGGGCAAAGCGAAATGTGAGTGGGGAAGAAGTGAGGCTGGGTTGATATTAACAAAAATTACTGAAATGCAAACTCTCTTCTAGAGATAAAGTGGTACTGTTCTGTGAAACAGCAGGATAATAACAATGAAAACCACATCTTGCACTCAGGAGAATTCAGCTGGAATTAGAAGCAGCCCAGCATTAGCTCGGTAGAGCATTTATTTGGAGAAACTTGCTTTGCTGTTACATTCCAAAGTCAAAACAATGTGTGTTAATTCTGAGAGTTCATAATAACTTCCATCTGTATGCGAGCACAAATTCAGTCCCTCTATTTTCTATTTGTAATACTGAAGCCTTCACGATGGTCAGAGTAGTTTTTTATGTGGGATAATATTAGGTAAGCCCATAAACTTCCAGTTGTGATTTCAGCTCTTTGGTAATGAACATGCCCAAGCATTTTTTTTTTTCCAAAGGGAAATTAATGAGTTATACCTATTAATGTCAACAAATGGAGATCACTGCTGTTCCTGAGCACTGTCAGAGGTGAAACAGAATAAAGTTGCTGAAGATGGCAGTGAATTTCATGGGTTGATAAAATGAATTTCATAAGCATTAGATACCAGGAGATAGCAGCAGCAGCAGAGCTTGTGGGGCCAGCTGTGTTTTCAGTCTGTGGAGTATCAGAAGAATGTAAAGCTTTAATATGGCAATGATATCAACTTTTGCATTGGTCTTTCACACAGGATTTCGTGCCATGAAAATGGTTCTGTTGAGTGGATAAATGGCAGTAGCTCAGAGTTGAGATTTTTGTGTGCTCAGCGCCACACAACATGGGCAAGGTAGCATCTCCCAAAGAGGGTTCTCATCTTAGGGCATGGTCAGCTTGGCTGTAGGCTGTGATTAGCTGAGCTCTTGTAAGACCTTCAGCAGTGGTTTTGGTGCTCCAGGATTTTGCTCTCAGTTATTTGTGTTTATCTTCTAATCATAGAGTGTAGGGTATGAGTGTAATGCTTGACTTGGAAATCTCAGGCCTGTAGGAAGAGAGAAGCTTTATTGCTGCTTGCTGGCAGCTCTTCTGTTTCCTTTCATTCCTGCAGCCTTGGTTGCTCAGGCTGACTTTGGAGGCTCTTTGTTATGTATGAAGAGATGATTCTGCCATGATTTCAGTGACAGCCCATCCCTCTTGAGATCACAGAATCATGGGTTGGGTTGGAAGGGACCTCAAGGATCACGAAGCTCCAACCCCGCTGCCACAGGCAGGGCCACCAACCTCCCCATTTCATAGCAGCCCAGGCTGCCCAGGGCCCCATCCAACCTGGCCTTGAACACCTCCAGGGATGGACGGGGCATCACAGCCTCTCTGGGCAGCTGTTCCAGCACCTCACCACTCTCTGAGTAAAGAAGTTCCCCCCCACATCCAAACTCAATCTTCTCTCCCTCAACTCCACACCATTTCCCCTTGTCCTGCTGTTATCTATCCTTGTAAAGAGCTGACTCCCCTCCTGTCTGCAGGCTCCCTTTAGGTACTGCAGGCTGCACTGAGGTCACCCCACAGCCTTCTTTGCTCCATGCTGAACAAGCCCAGCTCCCTCAGCCTGTCTTTGCATGGAGGTGTTGCAGCCCCCTGATCATCTCTGTGGCTCCTCTGGCCCCTCTCCAACAGCTTCCTGTCTTTCTTGTACTGGGGGCTCCAGCCCTGGGCACAGTGCTGCAGATGGAGCCAAGAGCAGAGTAGAGGGAGACGATCACCTCCCTGTCCCTGCTGGCCACCCCTCTGCTGATGGAGCCCAGGATGCCATTTGCTTTCTGAGCTGCAGGAGCACTGCTGGTTCATGTTCAGTTTTTCATCTACCAGGACCCCCAGGTCCTTCTCTGCAGGGCTGCTCTCAAGCACTGCTCCTTCAGTCTCTATGGATGTGTGGGATTCCTTCGGCCCAAGTGCCAAACCTGGCACTTTGCTGTGTTGAACCTCATTTGATTCTCCTAGGCCCACCTCTCGAGGTGGGAGATGAATCCTTATCGAGAACACGTAATGTTACTGCTGGAGAAAAGCTGATGCTAAATTGTGTGGAAGATGTTACGTGGCTTCTTCCCTGTTTGTTACTTCTAACTCATACATATACCATTGAAGAGAGTGCGAGTTACCATCTTGTTCATGAAACTACCAGTTCAAGAGCTTGTCTCTAGCAGGATCCATTCCAGACATGTTATTCCTCATCCAGTTGCAAGATTGCTTGGAGAGGAAGTGAATACTTTGGAGTGATGGAGCTAGATTCTTCTGGACCTGGTTGGAAGGGGATTTACTGCAGTTATCCTCTTGTCAGCAGCTCAATGAATTGTCAGCAGGTCAGTGAATTTTCTTGCAACTCCAAGCATCAAATTATTTCTTATTTCATTCTGTTGTTAAAGGAGAGAGACTCCAGGTAAGAACTCTGGAAGATCAAGAGACAAATCAACTCCTGAGCCCAGCTTCCCTATAGAACTGAAGGCTCCCATTTGAGCCTTGCTGCTGCTTTAATCTTGGTCGCTATCTCCATCTGCCTTCAGTGGCCATGCCCTTGAAATGATGGTGCTGTGTCCTTGCCTCAGCTGCTGGCTGTTGAAGGCAGACTTGCAAAACAAACCAGATGAAGCTGGGCTGTTCTACAGCTCTTTGCTTCCCTAGGGCTAAGGAGAGAAGTGAATGAGTCCTGTCTTATCCTGGCTCGTCACTGCTGCAGTCAGAACGTCCCTTCCCAGACATCACATCCACAGGTTTTGTGAAATCTTTTTAATTCGTTGCACTGCATGAGCTAAGGGTTTTTTTTTTTCTGATCGTGTTGAATATGTGGTCAGCACCACCCCACGAGGCCAGGCTTCCCTTCTGATCCACTCTTGATTTTTGTCTGATGACAACTGAGTGATGTTAGTCTGATATGTCTATTCTCATTGGCATGATTTGCTGAGCCCTGGCCAACAAATAGTTCTGCTTTCAGCTGACAATCATTAGCAACATCTGAACTTCGCTATTTGAGAAGAAAAAAAAAATTGCAGGGCCGATCTTTTGTCAGTTCTCCCAAGGAAATTTGTTTATTTTCACATCATGGCACTGGAGATCCAAGCGAGGAACCTTGTCTCAATCTTCCTTCTGTGTGTCCAGAGCCACCGCGTCCACTTGGTGGCAGGCAACGTTTACAGGTATTGTGTGGCTTGGTAGAGAAGTTTGCACAGCTATTCCTGCTCTCCTGGGAATGTTGTTTGTGTAGCTTGTCTAAATAACATAATAACATTCCCAGAGGCATGGAAGAAAAGCAGAGTTTGTCTTGATGTATTTAGTGGCAGTCAAAGTGTTATCTCTCTAATAGCTGCATGAAATAAAAGTTGAATGCCTTCCTGCTAGCGCCATATGTAAGAAACTGCACTGAAAATCAGCTCTTAAAGATTAAATGAGGCAAGGTGCCTAGCTGCTGGCTCTGTTAGCCTATCTAACATGGGAGAAAATCAGTTTCATAATAGAAGCTATTAAACTTTTCCATGGGAAGTTGAACAGCAGAAATGTTAGGAGCAGAAATTTGTTTTGGCAATAAACACTGCTGAGCAGAAGTGTCTTAAAGAGTTGTGTGGGTATCGGTGTAGATGCAGTGCTTATGACCCTTAGAGTGCAGAATACTGTGACTTGCATACTACATCTTTTACGAGGCCCCTATCCTCAGATCATAAAATGTACGGTTCAGAAAGAATCCACTGTCTGAATCTGTGGCCAATTTAACTGCGTAGGGAAAAGTGTTCCTGAAAGAGCACAGGTTGAATCCAGAGCAGAGTCCTCATCTTGTCAAGTGCCAAGCATTCATTTGAATGCTAAGGAGGAAGGGACTGCACCTGAAAAACCACAAGTACCCTCTGCAGCTACACGGAGCCAAAAGCTTTTAGGAGAG